TTACATATTCATTAATTTAAGATGGACAAGGGAAATATTAGCTCATAATTTAATGCAATACAAGAATTGCAAGCAATGAAAATGGACAGTCATTAAGAAATCAGTGGTTGATCATGATAAATATATTTTTAATAAGTTGTTTTAAACGTTTTTCTTAATATTCAGTCAAAATCTTCCTTTCTTCTTCTTCTTCTTTTTCTTCAGCGTTTGTCTCGCGCTCTGGCGAGGTCCGCTAATGTCCTTGAGTACTGCTTCCACGCCTCTCTGTCTGCCACGTATGTCGGGTCTGCCTTCGCGATCTCTAGATCGGCCTTGATCGTGTCCATCCAGCGTTGCTTAGGTCTACCACGCGGTCTCGCTCCTCCGACAATCACCTTCATCGCAGATTTGATGATGGATTCTTCCTTGGCGCGACTCACATGGCCGAACCATCGTAGCCGGGACTGCCTCATGACCGTGGGGATGGGCACGACGTTGAACCGTCTGCGCACTTCTTCATTCCTGACGCGATCGAGTAGGGTGAGGCCTACCGACCATCGGAGCATTCGCATCTCCATTGTCTGGAGTCTGCTTTCGACTTCTTTGGTCGTCGGCCAGCACTCTGCGCCGTATATGGCCACGGGGCGCACCACAGAGTTATAGATTTTCGCCTTCAGGCGCATCGGCATCTTCTTGTCACAGAGGACACCCGTGACGGACTTCCATTTGCCCCACGCTGCGTTGATCCTGGCTGCCACCTCAGTTTGTAGTAGGCCTTCTTCCCCAAGAGTAGTTCCCAGGTACTTGAAGGTGGAGGCGCGCGGTAGCTCCTGCCCGTTCACGTGGATGGAGCCTGTCGTTTCGTTGTCAGTGGTCAGGTATTCGGACTTCTTTAGGTTCAACCGGAGCCCGAACTGCTCGAGGCGGTCGTGCCACTGTTGGACTAGGTGCTCGAGTTCAGCCTTGCGCAGGTTGGCCAGGAACACATCATCGGCGTAGAGCAGCGTCCATGGGGCGGGCGTGTGCAGGTCATGTGTAATTGTGTCCATCACCAGAATGAACAGCAGTGGTGAGAGAGCAGAGCCCTGGTGTACGCCGACGGTGATATTGAACTCCTCTGATATCCCAGCTGCCGCTTTTACACGGCTTTTGTGACATCTGTATAGGAGTTGGACCCATTGTACGAGTAGCTCGGGCACGCCGTGATCTCGCAGTGCGTACCAGATGAGATCGTGCGGGACTCGGTCGAAGGCCTTTTCCAAGTCCAAGAAGGCGGTGTGGAGCGGGATTTTCTTCTCTCTGTGAGCCTCCATCAGCATCCGCACACCGAAGATGGCATCGGTGGTGCCGCAGTTCTTGATGAATCCGGCCTGGTTGACGCTGATGTCGACGATGTCCCGAATGCGCTTATCGAGGACGCGTTCGAAGATCTTCATAGTGTGTGACAGTAACCTGACCGGTCTGTAGTTGGAGCAGTCCGCTGGGCTGCCCTTTCCCTTCCAGATCGGAACAGTGGTGCTGCGGTACCAGTCGTGTGGCACTATTCCCGTGGAGATGATGTTGTTGAACAGCTCGCACAGCCACAATGCCGAGCCCGGTAGTGCCTTTTTCCAGAAGTCGGCAGGGATGTCGTCTGGTCCTGTTGCCTTACCGTTTTTCATGGCCTTGATGGCGTCGGTGACCTCGCTGGCGTGAATGCCTGAGACTGGGCCTTCGACGGGGTCACCTCGCGGGGTTCGTGGGTGTGGGAACTCCTCGGTGGAGATCTTCTCGAAGTATTGCCGCCACCTCTCGGCAGCGTCTCTGGGGTTGACGATCAAATTTCCCCTTTCGTCGTTGATCCCATGAAACTGGTCAATGTCCAGGGTCTTCCTGTGTCTGCTTTTGGCTAGGCGGTAGATCTCATTCTCGCCTTCTCGCGTGTTCAGCTTCTCGTAGATGTCGTCGTAGTGGGAGCTTCTGGCTGTCGCTACTGCTTTCTTGGCTGCCTTTTTGGCCGCCTTGTACTCGCAGAGCTTCTCGCTGGTCTTGTCCTGAAGAAAGGCCTTGTAGAGCCGTTTCTTCAGGTGCACGGCATCTTGTACTTCTGGTGTCCAGAGCCATGTATCTCGTTCGATGCGTCTCCGTCCTGGCTTGGTACAACCAAGCTGTTGGCAGCCGGCAGTGTGAACAGTGCTCTTCAGCATGGACCACGCTTCCTGTGGCCCGTCGACCATCTGCAGGAACTGCTCCAGTTTGATGAGGGGTCCCGCCATCTTCTTCTGGTTCCACCACTTGATTCGTGGCTGGTCTGCATTCTTTTTGTCAATCTTGGTCTTGGGCTTGCTGATCCTGATCTTCGCCATCAGCGGCCTGTGCTGACTGCTCGATTCGTACGGGTACACCTTGGCGTTGAGCACGTTTTTAGCGGCTCTTCGTCGTACGATGATGTAGTCGATCTGTGTGTGGTGGTTCCCATTTCTGCTATGGTAGGTGAGGAGTTGGGGTTCTCGCCTAATGAAGCAGGTGTTCGTGATGGTCATATCATGGGAGTCGGCAAAGTCCAGGATCAAAATCTTCCTTTCTGACAGTTAAATCCATTATTTCCTCTCCTACACTTTGGAACAATAGAGAAGAGATCCTGACATTCTTCTGTAACGTTATTTCACATAAATGAAGTATAGAAAGTTAACACCCACCCCTCTCCTAAAAGAATGAAATAGTATAGGAAATATTAAAAAGGCAGAATATTGTATTTCCCTGGATGAGAAAAAGAGAAACATGTTTTTAAAGACAAAGCCGTTTCCTACAGCTCCCTGCTCTCCCTCCTTCAGCTCCAGGGTGATGGGATTAAGACATGGCCCTCAGGACATGGTAGGATTAGCCCTCTACCCATCTCACCACATGGCACCTGGGAAGATTACATCACCCAGTAAAATTCAACCAGACCTGGGGCTCAAGACAACCTACAGAGTTACCCCTGCATGGCCCCATGGGAGTCTGACAACCAATCAGGATACATTTCTTGCCACAGGAACAGGAAGCAAGTTCAAAGCCCAACAGAAGGTATAAATCCCTCTCCCACTCTCATCCATGTGCTCCATTTTGTCCAGGACTTCAAACCATGTGGTCCTGTTCCATTATTAAAATCATCCTTCGAAGCAGTCTCCATGTTTCCAGTGTCTTTCTTCCAGTGGTGGGAAAGTATCAGGAGTACAGTGGGATGAGTTATCTCTGTGGAGATTAACTAAAAAGAAAAAAAAATATGATTGTTCTGTTTGCCCAAGACAACAGAGAACATCTAAGAAACTTCTTCTGGGTGGGATTCAATTTTTTTTACTACCGGTTCTGTGGGTGTGGCTTGGTGGGTGTGGTAGGGGAAGGATACCGTAAAATCTCCAGTCAGAGGTGATACTTGTCGGTTCTCCGAACTACTCAAAATTTCCGCTACCGGTTCTCCAGAACTGATCAGAACCTGCTGAATACCACCTCTGCTTTCTTCCCATTTGGACATTTCTTCCAACAGAAGTGTGATCTTTTTCTCCCTCCTATACCATTCTCCCCTTCTCAAGGCTAAACACTACCAATCGTTCAATATCAAATTTGTTTGAACTCTTCTTAAAATGTGGTGCTCAGAACGGGACTCAAGGGATCTGCTCAATTCAGAATAATGCAACACTTACTTTTCATTATTAAAAACTACTTTAAAAGTTTCTCTTTATGCAGCCAAAAATTTCATTTGTCTTTCTGCAGTCACATCACCCTTCTAATCACATTAAACTGATAATCAACTACTATTCCAAGTTCTTTCTCACAAGTACTACTATGTGGAGAATTATCCCATCTCATAAATATACATTTGATTTGTTTTCTAAGTGAAAGATTTTGCATTTAATTCTGTGGGGTTTCATTCTATTATTTTCAGCTCACTTTGGAATAAAATTTAAAGTGAATACTGAATTACAACTGGATCCCCATAAGAGTTCATTGCACAGGATTGATTTTAAATCTGAATGGTTTACCTACATATAGGTGAATTGTATTCTACTTTTTTGGTTCTTGGTCTGGCTTGTAACAGGTTGGTACCCCGGAATACTCTGGGCTTTGTTGATAGATATTTTCCCTATTTTATTATGGTTTCAAAATTTTTTTCATTGTGTCTTGTCTGCTACGTTCTAAAGTTCAAACCTGGCAAACATTCACAATCAAAATTGACAAGATCTTGAGAGCAGCTTCCTCCTTCTTTGAATAGTGCAACACAAATTTAAAACTGAGGTGCAGATAAATGCGCTTTCCCTATGAAAAATCTGAAATTTAGTCGAGCTATAAACGGATAACCTCATTTCTTTGGAAAAATAAAAATAAAGGATGTTCTTGCAATTGATAGTGCAATGCGTGGGTGTTCATGATTCCGAGCAGGCTGAGGGCATCAGCCCCTTTTGCTGGCGGAAGTTGTGGTTTTCCCATAGGTGCCTTTTTTAGGAGGCAACTGGATTTTCTTGTTTTTTTCTTCGTAAGAGGAAAGACCTCGTAAGAGAAAAAATTGCAGACTACAAGAACCAGGAGCACTACTCAGGTGACCCTGAGGACACAGATAAACCGCCAAGTGCTTCAACTACTCTCTAAGTTAGGATGCTTTCTGCAAGGTACATCCTTCCATTCCCGTCAGAGCTGAAGAAGCTTCTTGGATGAGAAGCGAAACGTCTTCAAACGAAAAAAAAACCAAGAAAGTCCAGTTGCCTCTTGAAAAAGCACCTTTGGGACAACCATGAAATCTCTACAGACTTTAAATTGTGGTTTTATTCCCCTGTTGATATGGAAAGGGGAAAGCCAAGCGGGAAACGTAGTCCCCAATTCGATGCAGAAAGTTGCAGCAGAGAATGACGACCCGTACTTCAAACTCCAACCTTTCGAAGCTCCTTCCGTGTTTCGCTGGGAGGCGGGAGACACCTATGGGCAATTCTCTCTCTCTCTCTCTCTCTCTCTCTCGGGCAATATTAAACATGGCGTCCAAAATCACCCCGGAAGTGGGGCACTGTGGGTGGATCTACACGCCAGAAGTCTATGCGTCCGCTCGCGTGGCTTTCATCTCCCGCGGGGAACACTTGAGCGGCGCCGAACCCGCCCGGACCTTTTCGCTCGCGCGGCGCTTCCCAGGCTTGACGCGTGCTGAGAGCGAACGGAGCGCGCGCCCGTCGCTTTTAGCCTCCCGGTTCGTTCTGCATTCGGGCCTTAATTGAGGGGAGGAAGGAGTCACAACATGGCGCTCGTGCCCGGGCAGGTGCTGCGGGTCGCCATCCTCCTCTCCTATTTTTCCATCCTGTGTAATTACAAGGCTATTGATATGCCAGCGCACCAGACCTATGGAGGCAGCTGGAAATTTCTGACCTTCATTAACCTGGTAAGTCATCTTGCCCCCCGCCACCGCCTCCTCTTACTCGGGATGTGAAGGATGCGATCCTGTGTTCCCGGACAAGGAAAGTGGCTGCGCTCCCCGGCTAAAATTTTGCCTCGGGGCCGAAGCCTCCTTTTGCACGGAAGGACTGGTGACGGGCAGCGCTTTCAAAGGGACGCCAGAAGGGGAGGTGCACCGTTGTTTTTAAATTTTAAAAGAAGAAAAAGGCACCGCGGTCGCAACGCTGTCATCTGGAGACGTCTGCTTATTGACTACGCACATGAACAGTCCTAGGGAACAGAATGAAATATATTAGGATTATTGGTTCCCCCGCATTTAGCAATAGAGATTCAAGGCACTTCTCCAAAAATGGTATCTGCAGCTGTGTAAGGAGAAAGAGAACTATAGGTAGCTGCTAAGAGGGTAGCAACCCCAATGAATGGCATTATTGTACATTAGGAAAGGAGAAACCAGAAAATCCAGTTGTCTCTTGAAAATAGCACCTTTGGGATATTGTGCATTATATTATTCCACAAGCAAAGTGCTTTCCAAGAAGCAGTTCATCAATTTTAAAAGGTTGGCTAGTTTCTTTTATTTAGAATTGCCACTTCTTTAGAATTACCTTATTTTTCGTGAACATCCAAGTTAAAATGTCACTTAGATTCTAACTATTTATGTTTGATTATTATTTGTTCACAATAGCACAAAGTCAGTTTACCAGTTCTTTAGCTGGTGTTGGCCTTCATGCACATCAGTTTTTCCCAAGGACCTAGGATGTCATAATCATGTCATAATGATGTCATAATGACATAATATTTGTGTGAATCCAAGCAGAATGGCCTTTTGCAATTGACAGTTGGAAACTTGGTTCAAGTTTTCTAAGTGCTGGTCAAGATTTTTTTTGTTATGGCACCCAGTGTACCGGTTTGTTACTAGCCAATGCTTTCTCCTAGTAGGAACACATAAAAATATTATTCCAGCCATATGAAAGTACTTGAATTATTATTATTTTTTTAAAAGTTTTTATTTTTTACAACAAACATATGAACAAAACATAAAAACATAAAACCCTCTTTCAATTATATACATACAGTGTGTCAGTTGGTTACAATCTTTTGTGCTATCCTTTTTTTTACCGTCACTCACAAGTTATATAAATTCTCACCTTATCGGTCTAGCTTGTGCTTATATAATATCAATTATTAAACATTCACTTGACTATTTTTCCATCATTTTATACGAGATATTCTAATTTTCATTATGATTTAATCTTACACATTCATCCAATGGTTATATATTTTATATTGTATTCTTTATCAGTCTATTAACTTTTATTGTAAGGCTTACTAATCTATTTCTTTACCATGTCTTTTTATCAAACCATTGATAAAATAAATCCCATATCATATAAAATTGTTTATCCTCTTGTTCTCTAATTTCAAATGTCAATTTACTCATTTCGGCACAGTCCATGATTTTCTTAATAATTTCCTCCTGCACAGGTATTTTTTCATTTTTCCAATTCTTAGCAAATACAATTCTAGCCGCTGTTAAAACATTTACAATCAAATATTTCAATTCTTTACAATATATTTCTGGTATAATTCCCAATAAAAATATCTTAGGTTTAAGGTCTATGTGTTGTTTAGTCATTTTTTCCAACCTTGTGTGGATTATAGTCCAATATCTTTTTGCATCCGAGCATGTCCACCACATGTGGTAATATGAACCAGGTATCTGGTGACATCTCCATTATCCGATTTATTCTTGAACATCCTCGCAATTCTCGTCGGGGGTAAGTGCCACCTGTAAAACATCTTAAACAAATTTTCTTGATACACAGTTGACATTGTCATTTTATAATTTTGAGACCACAATTTTTGCCATTTATCTAAATCAATCCCATATCCGAATTTTTCCCCCACGCAATCATTGTTTCTTTTACTTGTTCTTCCTCTAATTTGAACTCTAGCAAATGTCCATAAAGTTTTTTTTATTACTTCTTCATCAGTACCTGTCAAAATTTTATCTAAATCAGTCAACTTATCATAGATACCTTCTGTTTTAACATCTTTATCAAATCTAGATTGTATTTGCAAATATGAAAACCAATTCATTTTTACACCTTGTTCTTCCAATGCTTGCATAGATTTAAGTGCACCCTTTTTATTCAATATCTCACCATATCTAACTTTTTGTTCCTTTTTATATATTATTGAATAGGAAAAAGCTTCAATAGTAGATAACCATAGCAGAATTTTAAAATAATATTGCTTTTTTATCTTCTCCCAGTTTAGAAACAATGCTTCTCGAATATAATGTCTTCTAAAATACCCCTGCATTTTAGTTCCCTTATACCAGAGGAAGGCATGCCACCCTAACAGCAGGTCATGTCCTTCTAAATTCAAAAGTCTAGTATTCCTTAGTGTTATCCACTCCTTTACCCACATCAGACTTGTCGCTTGGTAGTATAATTCCCAATTGGGCAAAGCAAATCCTCCTCTTATTCTTGCATCTTGTAACAGTTTAAGTTTTATTCTCGCTTTCTTCCCCTGCCAAATGTATTTTAGCACTATTTTGTTTAAATCTTCAAAAAATTCTTTCCCTAATCTGATTGGAATTGTCTGGAATAAGTATAAGATTCTAGGCAATACATTCATCTTAATTGTAGATATTCTCCCAATCAGTGATAATTGTAAATTTTCCCATTTTGTCAAATCTGTCGCAATCTGTTGTTTAAGTTTGAGATAATTGTCCTTAAGTGTGCTACACCTTGGTGTTATATGTATCCCTAAATACTTAACCTTGTGTGTGACCTGGATCCCCAAAACTTCCTCCAATTCTTTCTTTCGTCTTACTAACATGTTCTTTGCTAAAATCTTTGTTTTATCTTTATTTATTTTCAAACCTGCTACTTTCCCATACTCTTCTATCAGTTTAGGTGCAGACTCCAATGGATCCTCTAATATAAATACCAGGTCATCTGCAAAAGCTTGTAATTTATACTCTTCTTTTTTAATTTTCATTCCTTTTATTTCTTTTTCTTCTCTGATGTTCCTATTCAGCACTTCCAGTGTTAACACAAACAACAGAGGCGACAGTGGACAGCCTTGTCTGGTCCCTTTTCTTATATCTGTAAAGTCTGTTAACTCTCCATTTATACTGCTATACAACCTTTGCAGTTTGTTTATGATATATCATTTCGATGGCTTGAGTAAATTTTTTACCAAAGCCCATTTGGTCCAATTGTAACAGCATAAAACACCAATTCACATTATCAAAGGCTTTTTGTGCATCTATAAACATCAGAGCCATTTGTTTTTCAGGATGTGCCTCATAGTATTCCAGTGTATCTAAAATTATTCTCATATTAACTTTAATCTATCTCTTCGGCAGAAATCCATTTTGGTCAGGATGAATAAAATTGTTTTATTTGTATCTTTTCGGTATCTTTTCACTCTTTCTGCCAGAATTGAAGCAAAAATTGTATAATCTGAATTTAATAGTGATATAGGTCTGTAATTTTTAACTTGCTGTGGGTCTGTGTCCTCCATCAGTACAAGTGTGATATATGCTTCTGACCATGTTTCAGGCATTCTCTTCTTTGTCATAACTTCATTCATAATTTCTAATAAGTGAAGATTCAATGTTTCCTGGAATGTCTTATAAAATTCCACTGGCAAACCGTCCGGACCTGGTGCTTTCCCAATGTTTTGCTCTTTTAAAGCTTCTGTTAATTCCATCATTTTTATATTACTTTCTAACATTATTTCAATATCTTTGGGTATCTAGGGCAAATTTGCTTCCTGTAAGTATTGTTGAATTCTTTCTTCCTGAACATTCTCTTGATGGTACAGTTTTCCATAGTAATCTTGAATAATTTTTTTTCTTCTCCGCATTTCCATAGCATACGTGTTTTTGTTCATTTATCAATTGATTTATTCTTCTCGAGTCTCTTTCCTTTCTCAATTTATATGCTAGTCATCTGCCTGGTTTGTTTGCATCTTCAAAATAGTTCTGCTTAGCATTTTTAATTTTTTGTGCTATTTCTTCTTTTCCCATTAGCCCCATTTTATGCTTAGTTATGTCCATTTTAATTTTAATGTCCTTTTTTTGTGGAAATTTCTGTAGTTCTTTTTCCAACTTCTTGTAGTCATCTTCCAATATTTTAAAGATTTTTTTTCTGTTGTATATTTCTTTTCCTTGTATAGTCCATTATCAAACCTCTTGTATAAGCCTTCATCGTGTCCTAGAGGTTCTGTAATGATGTATCCTCTTTTGTATTTTCTTTAAAGAAAAAAGTCAATTCTCTCTCAATTTTCTGTTTAAAGTCTTTTTCCTTTAATATCGTATTATTCAAAGTCCATCTAAATCTTCTTTTTTATCCTTTCCAGACAAGTGTTATTGGATTGTGATCTACCCAGGTACTTGCTTCTATTTCAATATCTTGTATGTTAGAAAGCAATTCTGTTGACATCCATATCATATCTATTCTAGACCATGATGCATGTCTATTTGAATAAAAGGTATATTGTTTATTTTCCGCATTTCTCTCTCTCCATGCATCTTTTAAGTTTATCTCATCTACCATTCGAAAGAAGGATTTTGGCAATGTCTTTCTAGTTTTCTTTGCTGTTTTTTGTGTTTTATAATCCAATTTGTCATTTATTATTCCATTAAAATCTCCCATCAGACAGATATTAGCATGATCCAGTTCAATTATTTTCTTATGTAATTTCCTGTAAAAATCTTCTTGATTATCATTTGGGGCATAAATTGCTATTAAAAGTTTCTTTAGATTATTGTCCGTTATCTCCACCATCAAAATCCTTCCATCATCATCTGTATATATTTGATCCGCAGGGATTGTATCTCTAATGTATAACACCACTCCTCTCCTTTTACACTGTGTCAACGCTGTAAATAATTTCCCTAATTTTTGTTATTTCACTATATAATCATGTTGTATTTTAATATGTACTTCTTGTAGGCAGATTATATCAAAT